CCCCCCCCTTTATTAACACCCATGTTCTAAATCCACACTAAAATGAAATAATTATCCTAGAAGACACAACTTACTTGGGCTCTCACAAACTTATGCAGGTCTGAAAGCAACCCTTTCGCTTCTGGGAGCATCACCATAACTGTGAAGTGAGCATCAAGTAATAAGCACATCCAATCCATAATCTGAAGACAAACAAGAAAAGCAGACTTACAATTTATGATATGCAAATGACACAGATTTTGATTTAAAAGCTGAACTCTGAAACATTAACTTCTAATGAAAAAATGTGTGGTTTCATACATTAAGGCAGTATATTTATTTTCCTATAATAAAAAGTGTTGCATTACATTTGGCTTCACACAGGTTACATTAATAGACAATATAGAATTAATGTAGTTGATTTAATATTCACAACTACTCACTAAGTCACACACCACAGAAACCAAAGGAAGTACAGCTCTTAGAACTAGCTTCTCACCTGACTTATAGTTGGACAGCATATTCCAGGAAGAGCAGTATTAATTTTTTCACTGCATTTCACATACAGGTAGTATAAATACCTGAGAAACAGCTAAAAGTAAAAAAAGTCAGAATATTTTTAATGGACAAACATTTAATAGGCTGATAAGTTTTGTCCTGTGCACAGCAACACTTGTAAGGGTATTTTAGAAATTTGTTTTTTAAAGCAACATAGATGCCTGTACACTACACACTGAAATTAAGTTCCTCTTATACCACCTATAGCTAGATGTTTGAAAATTCTCAGCAATATTCAGCATAAAGTTACATTCAGAGTTAAATCATTGTTCCAGTGCTTGTGTCAGAGCAACTTAATTCAGACAGGGACTCTTCTAGGAGCTTTGCTAAAAACTGTATCAACATTAACAATCTGAGGCCCAGTTTCACTTTCAGTAGCCAACAATGAATCGCTACCGGTCACCATCATGTGCTGAGCACAAGTCAGAGATTTATTTCTCAAAAAATAAGTAATCAAGGAGATGGGTCAGTGCTAGGATCAGCTTTGTTCTGATGTGGGTTTTTTTGTGAATCACTGGAAAACCATATATACACTCAGGTACTGTGGTACATGTGGTTCTTGAAATTTTATTTCAGGTTTTGAGGTGCAAAGTTGCCGGGGTTTGTTTTTTGGTTTTTTTTTTGTTTGTTTGTTTGTTTTTTTTTTTTTTTAAACTGAGAGGATCTTTGATTTGTATTACTTTTGGCATCTTACACAGCATACAGTTTGTTTTTCATATTTTCTAAACTTCTGTTTCTGGTGGGACTGACTAAATCAGAATGCCTCATTCCTTTCTTAAAAAGCATCCAAATCAAGAAAAGGTACTATACTTGCTAACAAAATATGAACAACATTTTCCAAGTAGACTGGGTCATAAGCAAGGACTATAGAAATCAATAAAAGTTCCATATGTATGTGGAAAAACGTGACATTCATTAACATTAAATCTTACTAGGCATTTTAATTTCATTTTCATGCATTAGTTTGTGATTCAGACTCCAGTAAGACTGGCAAGTTTCTAATACACAATTGAAATACACTCTTCCCTTTCCCTTCCCCCAAAATAATAAGGCGTTTAAAAACTTTTTTGTTTTAACATACTTACAACAGCTTGCTGAGCTGGAAGGTTTTTCAGATGAGGCAAAAGAAATGTTTCACTGTAAGCTGAATGGAGAACAGCATTTCTGTGCAGTACTATTAAGGAAATAAAATTGCAGGAAAAAAAAATACCAGTTTCTACAAACTGAAGTAAATTCTAATTAAAATATTTCTCTAGGTCCTTTGAGAGAGATCCTATTTCAGCTTTCTGAATCTCCATTATTTCTACCATGACACATATACAGCAACTGAAATATCAGAGTACAGTTAGCTTGAACAGTTCTGTTTGCTGCAGGCAGGTAATTGGCTAGTGTGTGCTTCAACAGGGAAACAATCATTGATACTATTTCCTCTTGAATAGACAAAGTTTTACAACACTTTTGCAATAATGTATGTTTAAACTGGTGTAGATACTTTGTAAAAGTTGTTCCTATTTATATTCTAAACCATTCTTCTGAGTATGAACATTTCTTATCAGAGATAACTTTCAGAAATTTTCAATAACAGAAGATATGTCTTTTAGTAATACTGAATATAAACATTCACATCACATGTAATGCACTGACTTCCCTTCATTAAAACATACAGAGGATACAATAATGCTGCCTTCTGTGGTCCAACAGGGCAGAATTCACCACCAGCCGTCAGATGGGCTTCCTTTGTGATTGTAGTATCCCAGATGTCCTGTTCCAGCTCAACATTGAAACCGTTTTCTACAATTTCAGTCTTAACTTCTTTATTGTTCAATTCAATATCAATGTAACAGATTACAGATTCTAGATTCACATCTATTCTTTGAAGATAGGCTTCACTAATGCTGTAGAAGAAAATTTCAGACATTTGATACATTTAATTATTACCTTTAAAATCAACAATGCCATCAATCCAACACTAGTACACACTGAACTCTTTGAAGCTTACTATAAAAGTAAAAACATATACTAAAATATAGAATCTTGCAGAATGAATAAAAGACATGAGAGAACAGTTAAGATTTTGTAATTATTAACCTTGAACAATACAGGTACTGCTCTTTTATTCCAACAATGTAAGTTACTATATTATTAGACATTGTCATGGGCTGATTTAAAGGTTATACCCCACTGAAGACTGTTATTACATTCTGACATCAGTGGAACTGCTTCAACCTTTAAGACAGTTACGATTTTCCTAGTATTTAGTAGTTCAAAATTCTAAGGTATGAAATGAGCAAGATCTGATGTTTCCAATAAAAAAAGAATCCTTTTTTCTCTGGAAACCTAAAAGAACAGTTACAACACTCTTGTCTTTTGGTTACAGTGCCTACCTAAAACTCCATCCTTTTGGGGATACAAAAATAATTTCTGTCATGAACTTACAAGAGTTAGTTGGGGTTTTTTTGTGGGCTTCTTACCCCAGGTGGGTTCCCAGTTAAGCCTGTTGCACAGTACACAGATAGGATGCAAACGCCATTCAAGCCAGCAGTGTTATAAAGGCATGTGTATTTAATTACCATTTACACAGTCTTTACAATTAACATACGCAACAGACATGTGCTAAAACGCCTGTCAGTCTGCAAGACTGCAACATACAGTGTACTCAGAATTAAGGCTTTAATGCACACTATTAATTGCTCATCTATAAAATTAAAGCCAGTCTTAGCAACACACAGCTTTTTATTTAGGGGCTTGGTTTGGTGAAGGAGTTAAAAAAAAAGATGGAAAAAAAGGGTGATTCCAACTTACCTTAAAAATACTTTCAAGCAAGCACAAGTAATTTCTTCAGGAATATCTGGAAACCGTTGTAAGCAGATTTGTAAGAGATACACGTCTTTTTTCTCCAAAGCAACAGCCATTAAATCTGGACATAAACTGTAATAATATGAAATGAATAGGCTGCATAGTTCACACCCACTGAAAACTACATTGACAACTATCGTAGAAGTATTAATCTTGTTTTACTCAAAAAAATCCATCTGGGAAGCGTCAGCTTCATCAAAAAATAAGCACAAGCACCTTCAATAGTAAATTCTGGGAACTCAAAGAGTGCTTTATAAAGACTGGATTTCTACTTTTTTTTTTTTTAAGTTTTTAAAGACTATTCCTTACATTTAAAAAATGCAGAATCATCACCTGTAAGACAAATCTTGGGTTTGGACTATCTGTAGCAGGAAATTTCGAGGGTAGTACTTTGGATTTGCTTTACATCTGTTTATAAGAGCGGTTACTACACATCCAATGGTGGCTTGGAGGTCTGGCATCTGTACTTTTGATATCAGTTGTTTCAATTCATCTTCAAATACAGTTGTAGAAGCATTCTGAAAATGACAAACACTGTGCAATTCAGAAGTACAAGGCATAGGTTTGAGAACTGTACTATTACTAATTAGACCAAGTAGAAACAGACTTATTTTGCAATTCAATCTAAAAAAATTTACAAAAAAACCCTCACCACTCTGCATTTTTGGAGTCTCTCTCAAGCATGAAAGAGCCAAACGAGGGTAACTACTCACTCTGGACTCAGGTAATGTTACTTCAGTAACATTAGCACGATGTCCAGTCACAGCTGAGCTATAGGTACATTCACACAGGAAGGGATGCAACTGGAAGTGTCACAACACTTGCTGCAAGTTTTAGAAAGGAACTAACCAGCTTATTGCTGTATTTCTGGTGGAATTTTCAGTATTCCAACTTTCTAGATCCAAAATATCTTCAACAAAATTAAAGTCATAAATAAGAATCTAAAAAAGCAGAGTTCAGGTGAAAAATCCTCCCACCTTATTTACTGTATGAGATTTTCATTAAAAAATAACAAATTTGTGCAAGTTTTCAGAACTCAGATAGCTATTACAAGCCCTGTACAGTTCACACAGAGAACACACTGCTATGACAAAACTTTAATTTCATGATCTCCTAATACTATTTCAGCACAATGATAATTATAATGTCCTCCAACTCACCTGTTTAAGGCATCTTTGTCAACTTGATACATGCAACAGGACATGGGAAAAGATAACAGCTTGAGACAACTAGAATATTCTGAGAATATCTAAAACACTACTTTAGAACACTTGGTTTACTTACTTTTAGATTTAGTAACAGCTGCCTAACTGATAAGGTGTCTGGCTGTACTTCAGCTACAGTGTTCCTTTTTGATCTTAACTATAAAGAAAAAACAAAAGTTATTATTCAGCTCCAAAAAGATGGTATATATTTAAGGATTTCAAACAAGATAACTGGGAACTTTACATGTCAACTTGCTGCAGAGGTTACAATTAGTAACTGGCCAGTCCAATTCCAGTGTTAGAAACAATAAGTGACAAATACAAAGTGAAATTTCCTTCTGCTACAACACCTACAAGTAAAAGTAGCAGCATGGGGAAGAGACAAGAGAAACACACCAAAAACCTCACAGGCTCCTGATGCTAACTTACATTCATTCTAGACTCAGATGTTACTGCTACAGGCTGCTCTGATGGAAGGGAAGCCAGCTCTTCATCTTCAAGGGTATTCCAATTTACAAATGAAGACACATCTGTGGACACAAAACCAAAACTATATGAAGGTAACACTTAAAGCACATTTGTTAAAGTATGAATATTGCAGCAACTTCTTATACTAATAGGTATTTTCTGAAGTATAATCCTAGTCCTTTTATGGCAAGGAAGTTTCCAGTTTTGTCTCAGCAGCAGGTAATTTTATTACTCTTTCCTCACACTGTTTTTCCATTGAGCTTCTGGGAGGCAGAGAAATAATTTATTACACAATTTATTGTGAGCATTACTTGCAACATTTTACCAGTGCAATGCTAAGCTGAAGACACTATGACAGTACAACTTTAAACTACAGTTTTCAAATTAAGGTTTGACATTGACCCATCTGATCGCAAACTCTTTGAAAATAATTTATAGGAGTCAGCACTTCATTTTGTCTCCAGTATTCATAGCTAGCATTCCAGTATTTTCAGTAATTCCAGTATTTGAATGACAACCCAGGTTAAGTGAAGCCACAATAAATTCAGACATCTGTGTGCTTTGGCATTCTTGCAACTTTAAATTTAACAGCTAGGAACAGAACACAGTGTTAGGTTACTTCAAGCTGTTTAGATTAAAATTATTTTACAGGATTATATGAAAAGAATTTTTATACAATTCCAAAGTTTTCCTTTTACAAGATATTTTCACTGCAATTATAAAAATTCTTACCAGGGGTTTGACTGTCCTTGAGCTTTCCCACAGCAGCTGCCAAGGATGATGTTTCACATTTGTACATAATCACAGTTAGCACTTTCCCATGAGTAAAAAAAAATTTTTCCTCATAACACCACAACTACAAAATATTAGAACATATTATTAATGAGGAGATGAGCAGAGAAGTCTGTTCCTGCACAAGCTGATGATTAACTCTCTACTACAAAATTCAACTAAGAGTCAGCGATCAGAGCATTTTAAATTATTTTTGTTAGCTTTAACACTTGTTAGCAGACCTTCATTAACTGTTGATTTTATACACAGAAATAAGAAGCCTTCTGTTGAGCATCTTCCAGCAATCTCTCAGAGTACAGTGGCTGCTTCTAGGCATTAAGTCCACTTGATAATTTTTATTTTTTAAATACTCTCTGTGCAATTTTAAGACAAAACCAATCAGCTGTTTATTTCCCTAGTGCATTTATTACTGAGGTGTCAATTTACTTATTGACACTTGAACATCTTGAAACTCTAGGGAGATACAGGGATCATTAAGGCTGTCAATTGTAAATTGTCTGAACAGAATAGATACTGGCTGGGTTTTCTGTTTAATTAGCTACATCATTCTCACCAAACAATCAAGACCATCAGAAGTGAGAAGGTACTGAGTTATCAAAGAAATTGCCATAGGCCACCATTATCCCACTAAATATTCTGACAAAAATTGCTCATCAACTGGTGAATATTAATTTTGTTTCAGAACTTGGCATTTGCTGCTCTTCCAGACAGAAGCAGAACTCTGAAGCCCACCAGTCTCTTCACTGCTATCACACCAAATGCTCAAGAGCCACAAATTAAAGATTGAGCTTACTTGTCCACTGGTTCCCAGGGGCAGTTCCTTTGAAGTTTGCAACGTCTGAAATTTTGTATTCCATATTGTTAGACACTCTAAGGAAAATAAGAGATAGATGTTATAACCCCAAAAATGCTACATTTGCCTTTGCTACTTTCAGTTAAAAACACCTGAGGAAACAGAAATAACTGTTTCAAAATAGCTCACTTAGTAATGTATTCAATATTAGGAGTTAAGTCATTCTGGTTAGTTCTCAAAAAAAACCCCAAAAAACCCCAGAAGATGAGTTTGTTTTCAAGAGCTTTAACCAAGAAGCTGTGGCAGGAGGGACAGCAGCCAGTGTGACTTCCAGTCAGGAAGAACATTTTGCTATAAAATGCTGCATACGGTAGCTTAAATTTCAATGATCCTACACTTGAGAAATTTAGGCATGAGCCTCAAGTGTTTGTTTCACTTATTTTAGATGTCCATTTCTTAGAAGACGTTAGGTCTGTTTCCCTGCATAGGTCCTTTTACAAGTCCTCCTTTCATTTTCCCTCCATCCATGAGTTCTCTTGGTCTTCTTCTCAACTGCTTCGCAAACACCAAAACAGCAAATACTGAAACACAGCAGTGAGTGCAGTCCTGCAACCCACACTGCAGTTCCCTGCTAAAGGTCATCTTCTGGCTAGTGCTCTGAACAGCACCACTCAACTATGTACTAGTTTCAAGAGCCAACTAACATTTTATTTGCACCATTTCCTGCTTTGTGCTTTGCCTAGGGAAATTTCAGACCTTACCACATCTTAATCTGATTTTCCAAGTTACCTTTGGATTCTTCACCAGACACAGCTAGTCTTCCTAATACTGCGACGTGGTCTTTATCAAGAACAACGAAAGAAGTTCCTTTTAGAACACTTCCAGATACCAAAAGGTTTAGTAGTAGTGACTTGGGCAAAATTTGCTCTTTCTCTTCAGTATTTTGCTGCAGAGGTATTAGAACCTTATACACAGAGTCGTTGGAATCTGTCAAAGAAAAGAGATGACATTTTTATCATCTGTTATCGTGGAAAAACTATTTGATATGATGTGGCAAGAGGATATCCAAAGAGAACAAGATTCAGTGAGTGCTGAAAGAAGAAATAATACTGCATATTTGAAGGACATGTTATGATGCAAAGCAGCAAAATAAAAGCATAGCTACCATGAGATCTGCATGGTACAAGTCATAACGTTTAGGGACAGTCAGCCTTTGCAGCCATTAAAGTACCAGAAAAATTTAATTGCTATTCCTACCACTAGCTGTTTCAGACAGTTTAAAGAGAAATGTTAAACAGTAATTCATAAATACCAACATTTTATGTTCTTCTGTACAATTCTTTGCTTTATTATCACATCCCATCAGAAAATATAACTTACACAAACACAGAAGTGTGATTATTTGCTTTTTTATGTATGCCACGAAACTCAGTGGTTTAGATAATTCCTGTTGTTCAAGCTTATATTTGTGTAGACTATTCATCTTAAGTTTCTGTACGTAGACAAAAAAATCCCCATCCTAAAACAAAAAAAGAAAATAAGTTTTCCTTTAATTTACACAAATAGAAATTCAGATATCAGTGCTGCTTAACTTTAATGTTAAGCAAAATTAGGAATATGTGTTTTCTATAGGACGTACAACCTAATTCAGAAAAGTTTGCAGACTCAAGCACATAAAGGAAATTGTAATTTGATGAAGTGAATGGATTCTCAGGAAGAAGCATTTCAATAAAGACAGATTCATGCATAATAGATTTTTTAAAAAACCATAAATCCTATTTAATATTTTTTTCCACAATAAGCAAGTATTTGAGGGCAATGAAGAGTCACACAATCATCTACTGTATTTAATCTTAATTATTCTCTGAAGTTCTAAGAGCCAGGCTCCTCATCCCTGAAAGCAACACACCTTCAATTTAACTGCTTTATCAGAAACAATACATATATAGGGTATTGATTAAGCAGGATAATGATTTCACTAAAAGCTCTTATAGTCCAATGAAACGGGTGATGGATTTTAGAAAAAACACTTAAGATTTGTTGCTATCAAAGTTTTAAAAAAAAGTATTCAACTCACTTTCTCAGTAGCAAAAATTAGGACAGGTTGCTGACCTTCCATAAAAGCTTCACTCCACCTAAAACCAGAAAGCTGTATGAATGTCTTCTAAATTCTAGCACTATACCTAAAGTCATAACACTGTTCCTTAGGCAGCTCTTATTTTTAGTATATCTGTATAAATAATTCTTAAGTTTTTAAAAACAATGTGTCAGGAAAAAAAGAAACCCAACCCTAATATCCCGGTGTTCAGATTTCTCCCCTATCCCCTCAAAAAAGGGAACACCTTTCATCATCAATTCCCCTGAGCCAGAAGCAGGCTTCATAAAGCTGTAGCACTTACTTGATGACTTCGTCTGAGATAACATTTTCAATTTCTTGTTGTGGGGCTTCCAAAAGGACATCTAAAGTTCGAACACCACCTCCTTTGAATAGTACCACTGGCCCCCCATTGGGTAGTGAATGTATTCTGTACACATCAGCTGAAAGCTACAGAGAAAAAAATAATTCTATGTTCTTCAGTACATTACCTTGAAAGCCAAGTGTTTTATCTGTGATTTCTTTTTGAGTTCTTTCAATAAACAAGTAACAGAAGAATGATGAACCTGTAAGATTCCTAATAATGTAGGCCTAATAGTTGGCAATTTTCTGAAATGCTACAAATATTGCAAATCACTACCCAACAAAAAGCCAGGGAAGTGTCTGGGTGAGCATCACATTTCTGAATCACATCACAAAAACATAATTGAGGGTCAGGAGCTCAAACAACTGTTATACAGCGTAACACAAAGCTTTGCTTAACACAACCACCAGCGGAACAGGAAAATCTATACTCAAACATCATTCACCATCTTTAAAGAAAGTCCTCTGAAACTTTGGACTTGGGATACAAATCATTTTAAGAGTAATACTTCGATGATCAAGTCTCTTGGTCCAAGTGGATTCCTTGCAATATTCCCGAACATCATGAAGTGCAAGTTAAGACAATGGTCGGCTAAAGTGTAATATTACTAGTACTATGGAAATTAGCATCTCTTCCCTCCACCAGGATTCAGAACATTAACATAAAAGTGACATACCTAAGAGACTTACCGTTGCTTTAAATACTTTGTCCAAGTTAATATCTTGGTTCTTCCATATTCTTAAAACCTTTAAAAGAAGCATCATTTTTAAGCACAACAAACCAGTAGCATATAAACTTCTCATCACGCAAAATTCTAGCAATTGCACATCACTGAAACACAGGGTGAAAACATGCAGAAAGTATTCACAGTAACCTTAGTGGAATCTGACCCAGGAGAAGTTTGCAAGGGAGGAAGGTGAAGCAGAGACAACAGGAATACAAAGCAAGCTTAGGAATCTTGACTTGGAAAGAAAGAACAGGAAAGAGTAAAGTTAAGGAAAAAGATACAGCAGAATTCTCAGTGACAGTGGATCAAAGTGATGGAGACAGATTAAGATACAGGTGACCTGATCAGGAAGAGAATGTCTCAAGGAGACCACTGAAAGGTCAGGAATGATATTTCATAAAACAACAATTAGAAAAAAGCTAAAGGTTCAGCATGTGCTGAGCACACACTACAAGTACACAAACAGGTAATGTTTAACTGTAAAATATGAGCAGAGAAACCAGGATGCAGGTATGAACTATCTTAACCATTTCAGCACAATAATCATGGTAAATGTCAACCAGCTTGCAACAGAAGAAATAACTTACCCTCTGAGAATGTATGCATGAGGCATTCCGCACTGAGAATGCTTCAGGTTTTAAAAGGCCACTGAACACCTGGTGCTCGGCACAGATTATCTCCACCTCAATGAGAAAGGAACACATGTGCAGCCCAGAACTGCACGGCCCTGTCCCCTCAGAGAGCAGAGATGACCTGAACTGCAAGAGGGTGTCAGGAGCTCCATGTGTTTACATTTAGCCAAAGATCTTGCACTGCTGATTTCCTCCTCATCTACATTCCCTCAGAAGACTCACTACATCCTTTTTTTTTTTTTCCTTTAAGAAAAGATAAACAATCTCACCTTGTCATCATGAACAGCTACGTATTCGTGAGTTTCAAAGTTGCATACAACTGGACATGTGATAATCTGCCCATGTTTAACTGACCAACAACCCAGTGGCTTCTGGTCTGAAACCTGAGTCAGAACAGAGACACTAGTTAACACAGAGCACAGCACGCATCGGGGGTTCTCATGATTCTCACGACAGAAACGCAAGGTAGCTACATCTGATTTGAATGAGAATATGAACACGGGGAAACTGCTATATTCAAAACTTCTGCTTGAGCATTCCTGTCTCTGACTTTAATACCAAAAACTTCAGAATAACATGGAAGAACTCCACATTAATTAAAAATTACTTCTTTTCACAGGAGAAATTGAGCTCTGATAGTCAGGTGGGCTTATGTCATGAAGCACAGGTATGATGCATGGCTTTTCCAAGGGAAGATATTACTGTTAACTAGTGCAAGTTACCTTTACTAACACAATCATGCAGAAAAGCCACGCTTTTTCTCTTCCTATTTCAGAGTAAGTTACAGAGACCAAGAGCAATGAATTTCACTGTCTAAACTCACATTATCTATGATTTAATTCTGGCTGCTCAGAGGGTTCTCCATCCCCTCTCCTCAGCCTAGAGCTACACTGGGCATATTTACCAACATGTTCATGTTCTCATGTATGGTCTTGGCAGTGGCACTAAACAACTCAAAGGAGGTTGTATCACGAATCCACTAAGATACAATCCCTAGCGCCATGAAGGTGAAGGTCAATTAAAGATAGAAACCCAAATATTTTCCTGAAGTTTCTCACTACGGTTTGCTGAAATATATGCATACGCTAACAGCTTTTGAGTTTCAATTGCAAACTAAAAATCTTTCCTCTTCCAGCCAACTTCCAGGAAGGCAGCTGACCCAAGACAGCCGGACGAAACGCCTGTCACCGTGGCTACGGTAAGGAAATGTCGCAGACCCTGCAGCTCCGGGACACAAGGATTTCTTGGGGTGAGGAATGGAGGGAGAAAACCAAGGAGAAATGCGCAAGCAACCGCCTAAGCCGACGCCCGCCCGCTGGCAGGCCGGGGGGCCGCCGGAGAGCGCAGGTGAG